GACTACAGCACTGGGGATCAAAGGTGGGTGGGGCCCTGCCTGTGCGACAACGCGTGGGCGATCTATAACATGGTAAAGAGGTTTTATGTTAGCATGATTGGGGAACAATGGATGGGGGGGGGGCAGAGGTCGTGATTTGGAAGCACCACACAGGCCTCCGTTGTGTAAATGCTAGGCTGAGCTCCGACAGCAGTTCCGCCATGAAAAGACTATTGCCCAGGGAAGCAAGTGGGGGAAAAGTTAAACTTTAAAGCTACGTTCAGGCTTACCTATAGTGTAAAGGGCAGATCCTGGGCTAGATTTGACAGCTGTGCCTGTAACCCAGACACCAAATATTTGGAGAAAGGATAGAAAAGATACCATTTCCGTGCAAGTTTATGAAAAAGGAGCAGAGGGCTGGTCTGGGGTCTCTTTCCCTCAGAGGTGAGGATGGACCTGGGGCTCGGAGGGGGGACTCACACATCATAGTGGAGATGGGCACACGTTTTCAACGAGGCAACAAGCTTATCAGTAAGCCCCAGAAAGCTACCCTTGCCACGGAGTCCATCCCAACGCCGCACATCGGAGAAATACAGCTACTCAGAGACTGCTGAGCCAGAGGGTACAGAGACATGGCTACTATAACATCCTAGGGCTACCTTCTGGCAAATTCTTACGTTTTATTCTCTCCGTAACCACCACGGTACCTCAGCATTCTTTAGAAAGAAAAGAGATGGAATAGGTCGCCGATGACTAAATCTTCCTTTTAAGCAGTTAGAATGTAGAACTGTGGGCGGGGGCGGGGATCTATGGAATGTAACATCACATGTAATCTGATCATAAATTCCTAGTTGGGCCGAAACCGGTTTGGCTCAATGGATAGAGCGTCGGCTTGGGGACTGAAGGGACCTGGGTTCGATTCCGGTCAAGGGCATGTGCCTTGGTTGCGGGCATATCCCCGGTGAGGGGTGTGCGAGAGGCAGCTTATCGATGACTCTCTCATCGATGTTTCTAGCTCTTTGTCTCTCTCTCTTCCTCTCTGTACAAAAACAATAAAAATATATTTAAAAAAAAAATAAAAATAAATAAATAAATAAATTCCTAATTGGGTGGATCCCAGTGGGTAGTCATGCCCCGGGCATACAACTTCTTCAGTAAAAGACTTATTTTACCTAAAGCAAGCTCTGACCCTTGTTTCTATGCATCTAGGTTAACACACCTTTGAAGGAAGCATAACCACTCTCCAGAGAGCACAGAACTTTCCTGTGGGGAAGGCACAGTCTCCTGAGGCCCCTCCAGCCCCTCCTCAGAGCTGCTCTCGGTGAGTCTGAGCACCTTTTATTCAAGGTCACCGCACAAGGAGCCACTGTGTACCTCCTAGAATGGTTATAATGAAAAGCAAATTCCGGTAATACTGAGCGCTGGTGCAGCCATGGAAACTCTCATCCTTCGCTGGAGGGCCTGACAAGTAAACGGTGCAGCCACTTACCACATGTCTTTTAAAGTTATACGCACACTTACCACGCGACCCAGCAATTCCACTCATAGGTGCGTACCCCAAGGCGATGAACACTTAGGCTCACACACAAGTCCGTACGTGAATGCTGACAGCAGCCTTATTAATGATTGCCAAACACTAGAAACAACCCCAATGCCCTTCAGTGGGTGAACGGATAAACATCACGCAGGGGGAGGAAGTCATGTGCAAATCTCAAAAGCATGGTGCTGCGTGAAAGAGCCGGTCTCAAAGGACTATATCCTCTACCCGGGGTCGGCAAGCTGTGACTCGAGAGCCACATGCGGCTCTTTGGCCCCTTGAGGGTGGCTCTTCCACAAAATACCATGGCCTGGGTGAGTCTATCGTGAAGAAGTGGCATTAGAAGAAGTTTTCTTTTAAAAAATGTGGCTCTCAAAAGAAATGTCCATCGTTGTGCTGTTGATAGTTGGCTCTGAGGACGAATGAGTTTGCCGACCACTGTCCTATACAAAGAGACTTACTTAACATTTTCCAAAAGACAAACGGGTGGAGAATAGCTCACGGGTTGCCTGGGGGTGGGGATGGAGGTGGAGGGTGCGGGTGACTATAAAGGGATTAGTGCTAGGGACTTAGGGGGCGACGGGTTGCCTGGGGGTGGGGATGGAGGTGGAGGGTGCGGGTGACTATAAAGGGATTAGTGCTAGGGACTTAGGGGGCGATGGGACTGTTCCGAGTCCTGATTTGGGTGGTGGATACAGGAATCCACGTGTTAAGTCCCACGGATTTGTACTCCCCCACCTCCCACATCAAGTTGACTGTATGATAATGGACAAGGGTTACCCAAATTTACGCTCGGGATAAATGCGCCCAATAACAAAGGTCTCCGCCATGGGGTCAGCCAACAGAAGCTGAATCCACAATGAGAACCGGCAGGTGGGCAGGTGGGCGTGAGGAGGGCAGTGACTGACAGGCGTCATGGGTGCAGTCTGCTATGTAAAGAGGGTAAGGGACACTCTCAGTCACGGGGCACCGCCTGGCAATTCTCCAAAAAGGCAAAACCAGTTGTGATCTGGAACGTTTCTTTCCCGGGAACTTTGTATTCACCGTCTCCTACAACAGCTTTAAGGGAGGAAATTGAAGCTTAGAGAGGGTAAAGGATTTACCCCGATGTTGATCTGGGTTCTGTGTGGTTCCCCGGTGGCGGCGGCCACATACAGCCCCGGCGTGGATTAAACTGTGATTCCTCCCTTTTCCACGCAGCCCCTGGAGCAGGCCCCTTAATCCTCTGTGCTCTTCCCGTCCCGCCTGTCCCGCCTGCTTTTGATGCAGTGACGGGGGAGAGAGGCTCTTTTGCGCTCAGGAGACATAGGGCGCTGTCTGGAGACATCTTTGGTTGTCGCATCGGGAGGGGACAATGCCACTGGCATCCAATAGGTAGAAACCAGAGGTGCCGCTAAGCAGCCTACAGTGTCCGGGACGGCCCCCTGGAAAAGTAATGACCCAGCCCCACACGTCACCAGGGCAGACGTGCAAACTTCTTGGTTTAAACTTGCAGTGTTTCCCAAACTTTTGACATATGTGCACCCCCTTCTATAATTTCCGTAACGCTGAGTACCCCTCGTACTCATGAGAGCGTAGAATTAGGTGCAGCTAAGCACGGTGCAGTGCATATCTCCACCAAACTCTTCCCATACCCCTGGGGGTACGCGTACCACACTTTGGGAAACACTGGTTTAAAAGAACGAAGAGAGAAAATACGGGTGAGCCAGGTGCGGTGCAATAGGCATTTTTAAACGCTTATCTCCTCAAGGCCCTTTTGAGGGAGGTATTATTAAGTCCTGTTTACAGATAAGAAGGTGGTTGCTCAGACCCACAGAGCAACGTGGCCAAACCCCAGTGAGGAGACAAGAAGCTGTGGCCACCCCAGGCCGCGGTGAGGACAAAGCCCAGAGTTCCCGCAGTGTGGTGCTGGGGTGGGCTGGGCCCTCCTCACCTCCATCTCCCCTGGTCTCCAAAATCACCTCTCAGCCTTGAGAGATCCGCAGATCAGGGGAGCCGTGGGGCTGGTGGGAGGGACGTGTGACCACCAGAGGCTCTCAGGAAAGGAGTGGGCATCACCCTGAACCTCCCAGGGTTGGTGCTCACCAGTGTCCTTCTGCATCACCATCCCTCCGCCCTCAGGCACTCAAGTCTCTCCTCTCTCCAAAGAGCCCAGAGACATCCCCAGCCAGCTGCTCCAGGACAGCGTCCTCTCCTCTCCCCGCAGCCGGTGCTGTGGGACTTGGGCACTCGGACAGCAGGCGGGGACGGGCGCCCATCCCAGGACAGCGTGCTCTGATCCACGTCCCAGGGGCAGGGTGGGCCTCTGACACCAAGCAAACTGCTTTCAAAACAAGTTTCCCAATCACCTCTGAGTGATTCTGTTTCAAGTTTACCCTTTCCTATAATGCGTACCGGCGGTTCCAACAGCTGAAAATGGGTGTGTGTGTGTGTGTGTGTGTGTAAGACAGAGGGAGGAGGAAGAGACAGAGCAGAAGCAAGGGGGAAAGGGTGAAAGAGAAAGAAAAAAGAAGTAGAGAAGGACATAGAAGTAGAGAAGGAGATTTTTTTTTTCTTTTCATTTCCAAGCAATTTATTAAGCAGTCGGATAAGATAGCAGGAAAACAAAAGCACTCGAGAAGCTTAATAAGGTTACTGAGTGGCATTCTATGTGTAATTGAGATTTGTGGTCACGAAGCAAAGCAAGAACCAGTCAACACAGCGTTATTTTCCAGCAATAATTAGCTGCTCGATTGTAAGTGCGAAGGAGGTGGAGAATCGGTTTAATTAAGATTTTCAGGATAGCTAGAGAAGTGAACCATTGGGAAGAGGGCCTGCGAGCTTTATGGCATGTGCAAAAGAGGAATGTAGTGATTAACCATGAGCTCTAAATGAGAATATGATCAAAGGATTAGCGTCCTTGTTGAGGCTGGAGAATTGTTGGAGTGGAGGTTCTAGAGAAAGGGAGGTAGAGGATAGGAGGTCATGGTCACATAATGAGGTACTGAAGTTGAATTTCAGGGACCATGCAGCTAGGGATAATGAAAAGTTCATGTTGTTATGCTGGTCAGTAGGTTAGGTGGGATAAAAGAAAGTAATGGACGTGAAGGGGTAGAGAAACTGAGACTCTGAAGTGCAAGGTGGACCATCCCTGTGAGTGTAAAAATCTCCACGAACAGAATGGAAAGGCGAGATTTTTGACGAGTGAACCATTAAATGTCCTTAAGAAAGACATTTGCTCATACGTAAAAGCTTAACATAAAACCCAGAGAGCAGATAACCTCATCATAAGCAAAAAACGCTAAGATTGGGGAACACTTGCAAATCCGGCGGGAAGACAGGAATGGTTTTCAAAATTACTTTAAATGCCGCTAAGTGGGCCACACACCCTAGTCACTCCTCCAACCTGGCAAAGCAGAGTCCCTTCGTGACCGGGCTGGGCACGGCCCCCCTCCTCCCTGCGCCCCGCCTCCCCGCCCCGCCCCGCCCCGCCGAGGGCACTCACAGCTCCAGGATCAGGATGACGTCCGTCTTGCTCTCGTACACCTCGTGCAGGGTGATGACGTTGGGGTGCTGGATCTCCTTCAGGATGCTGACCTCGCGCTCGATGTCCTCGCGGCTCACGCCCCGCCGGCTGGACTTGGTCCTCCGCTTCTTGATGAACTTGGCGGCATACTGCAGGCCTGTGCTCTTCTCCCGGCATTTCTTCACCACGGCGAACTGCCCGCTGAGGAGGGGACGGGAGGACAGGAGTCACTCAGACATTCTTTTTGTTCATTAAAATACAAGATTCGAGCTGAAACCGGTTTGGCTCAGTGGGTAGAGCATTGGTCTGCGGACTGAAGGGTCCTGGGTTCGATTCCGGTCAAGGGCATGTGCATTGGTTGCGGGCTCATCCCTGGTGGGGGTGGGGTGTGGGAGGCAGCTGTTCAATGTTTCTCTCTCGTTGTTTCTAGCTCTCTATCCCCCTCCCTTTCTCTCTGTAAAAAATCAATATAAATATATTAAAAAAAAAATTACAAGATTCAAGCAAGGATGTGCCAAGGGTGGGGACAAGGTGGGGAGGGGTGGGACACGATGGAATTGTGAGTAGAAAAGTCCAAATTGTGAACAATTAACACAGTAAGTAGGGCTAGTTCTTTGGAAATTACAGCAACATAGGCCAATAAATTCTCTTTACTACTAAATGTTTTGTGTTTTCTATTTCTTACAGAGGAAAGTATCCTATTCATCCAGAGCCACAGCAAATAACCAGAGCCTTCCTGTGCATACATAAAGGAATATATATATATATATAAGCCTAAGCGACCATTACAACCGGTTGCTATGTCAGCACTGACCACCGGGGGTAAATGCTCGATGCAGGAGCTGCCCCTTCAAGGTCAGTGCGCTCCCACAGCCTACCTCCTGTGGCCAGCCAACCTCCCATGGCATCCCCCATCCCCCGGCCCCCCTCCCTGCTGGCTGGCCCAATGCACGAATTCGTGCACTGGGCCTCTAGTTATAAAATAACTTGACACACAATAAAAGGTTAAGACATAAGTAGGCTACCCAGAATATAAGTGAAACAACAGAAAGATGCTTCCTGTAATGACCCTCACGTCTTCCCTAGTGCCCATGGCAGGGTAGGTCCCCCAATCACAGAACCTGTACATTTCTTGGCACCCGCTGGAGAACTGCTATGCAGAGCATTATCACAGTTATTTTTCGCTAGTTTCATTCCCCTCACATGAAGACAAAAAAGGGGAGAGAAAATCAAATAACTGGTAATATTTTGATGCTAAAGAAGGATACTTTAAAATGTTACTCATTTGCTTGAAGGCCAGAGAAGAAAAATCACATAGTGAAGGATTATTTTTATGGCAGTATTAAATTTTTTGCATGACAGGTTATTAATGCCCTCTTTCCCCCTGCAGCAGGAGAGCAGAGAAGTTGGAGGATAAATCACACCGGAATGCTAGCAGCGACAGTCTGTAAACTCACGACCTTAAAGAGCCAGGGGGTCTGTTACGACTTTATTACAACCATTTTCTAATTTCTCTGGGGAGTGAAGGACTGGGCTTTCTATCTATTGAGGGACAGGGGGTGGGCTGCAGAGATGGGGAAAAGCAGAAACTCAGCCCCCCTCCTCACAGAGAAGGCATCACGTCCTCCCCTTTGGGGTCTCAGGGGACCCCAGCACAGAGAGGAGGCAGAGTGCACTCCACAGGGCAGGATCCCCAAACCAGAACCATCTGTGCTTGGGGGCGGGGGTGGTGGGCTGTGACGCCTCCCAGACGGTACAGGCACCTACAGACACCGTGACTTATCTCAGGGGCTGTCATGACTCCAGGCAGACTGTGGTTTGAATGACTCTTGCATTAAAAAAACCGAAGGTGGCCGAAACCTGTTTGGCTCAGTGGATAGAACATCAGCCTGTGGACTGAAAGGTTCTAGGTTCAATTCCGGTCAAGGGCATGTACCTTGGTTGCGGGCACATCCCCAGTGGGAGGTGTGCAAGAGGTGGCTGATCGATGACTCTCTCATCAATGTTTCTAACTCTCTACTTTGTATTTCTCTCCCTTCCTCTCTGTAAAAAAAAATCAATAAAATATATTAAAAAAACAAAACAAACAAACCAAACCGAAAGTGCCAAAAAATAAAATAAAATAAAATTTGCAGGCAAACTGCCAAGAATTTAAATACAAGCCTAAATTTAAAGACTATCTGAGTGTGTTTTCATCGCCAAATGATCCATTGTGGACTGTTTCTCCCTTTAACTCTGTAAGATTCACATCATCCTCATTTCTTCTGCCAGTGAGAAAGCCAAGCTTCAGAGGGATGTTTTAAAATTTGCTCTAGATCATTCAGCAAGTAAGTTTGCATAATTCAGAAATGATTCCAAATCCAAGTGTAGTATTCGCTCCAAAGCTTTGGTCATTTAGCCAGGCTGCTATGCTGGGCTCATGTCCATTTTGTTTGAGATACAAGCCGTCCCCCTCTGAAGCTGCAGGACCTCATTCTAGGAAAGAGCTTTCTGTGGGGGAAGGGCAAAGAGAAGAGGTTCGTGGCGAAAACGTTTGGGCAATGTAGCCTTCTCCTCGCCACAGAAAACTCATCAAGTGTTTGAATTAATGAAGCCATTGCTTGAATATCCTTGTAGGTTATTCTCTGCCATGAAAGGAAAACCACATTTTGTGTGTGCTTAGGAAGCACGATATTGACAATTAGAAAGAACCACAGAAGCGTCTCAAGGTCAGATGGCAAGCGATTGGTGAAGCATCTGTGTTTTGGAGGTCTTATGTATTTCACAGTGCATTAAAAATGAACCTGTCGGCCCTAGCTGATTTGGCTCAGCGGACAGAGCACCAGCCTTCGGATTGAAGAGTCCCAGGTTTGATTCCAGTCCAGGGCACATGCCTAGTTTGCGGGCTCAATCCCTGGTGGGGGACGTGGAGGTAGCTGATCAATGAGTCTCTCTCATCATGATGTTTGTATCTCTCTCTCCCTCTCCCTTCCTCTCTGAAATCAATAAAAAATATTTTTTAAAACAACAACAGCAACAACAACAACAAACACCTGTCGAACTCTGTTTCATCCGTTCAGGTTTCATTTTCAAATTCATTTCTTTGTGGGATTTTTAAAAAAATATATATTTTATTGATTTTTAACAGAGAGGAAGAGAGAGATAGAGAGCTAGAAACGTCGATGAGAGAGAAACATCGGCCAGCTGCCTCTTGCACACCCCCTACTGGAGATGTGCCCACAACCAATGTACGTGCCCTTGACCGGAATCGAACCTGGGACCTTTCAGTCCGCAGACCGACGCTCTACCACTGAGCCAAACCGGCTTCGGCTCTTTGGGGGAGTTTTGCTCTCACTTTGGGCAAGATGGAGTGGATAAGCAAAGTCAAAGAAGTTGCATTCAGGATGCAGGAAGAGCAAGTTGTCTGGGAGCAACTATTTTTTTCTGCCCGTGGGTTGGTGCCTAACCTAGGCTCTACCAGTTTCACTGCTGACTTTGATCCAGACACCACGTTAGTACAGGCTCTCACCCAGGAGTGCAGATTTAGAAAACACACAACAAAATGGCATATAATTTTTGGGAGAATTGAAATCATGCATCCATGCAGTACATATGACAGTTAAAAATTATTTATGGGAACTATGTGTTATCGTGCATTCCCTACATTAATGCTAGAAACAGATCTGGCTTAAATCAAAACAGCTCGATAAGTTTCAACTCTACCCTCCTTCCAAGTCTTAGCAAGAAGGTTTCTAATTAACACAAAATAACTTTTACTTCTGAATTCACATGCCAACCCCCTGGCACAATGACAGTGCTGGCTTAGGAGCCAACTATTTTTCCTGAAGAGCCATGCTGACAAGAGTGGCAGCAGCTGGGATCCTGATAGAAAACTGAGGTGATTTTTCAAGGATGAGTTAACTTGGGTAATAATTCACATTTGTGGCAGAGGAAAGACCCTAAAGAGTTTGTAGGCTAATGGGAAAGACAAGCATGTACCACCAGAATGCTGGATGGGCCATAAAAATGACAAGGTCACTCGGCCACTCGGGGAGAGAGAGTAAGGTCAGGAGATCCAGGCTGCGTCTCTCTCTCTCTCTCTCTCCCTCCCTCTTTTTTTTTTTTTTTTTTTAATTTCTTTATTTATTAAGGTATCACATATTTGTCTTCATGCTCCCATTCCCTCCCCCGCCCCAAACCCTTCCCCATGCATCCTTCTCCCTCCCCCCCCCCCCCCCCCCGTTGTCCGTGACCACTGGTTAGGCTCATATGCATGCACACAAGTCCTTTGGTTGATCTCTCCCCCTTACCCCCTCCCTCCCCTACCTTCCCTCTGAGGTTTGACACTGATCGCTGCTTCCCTGTCTCCGGGTCTGTTTTTATTCATCAGTCTATGTTGTTCATTATTTCCTCTAGATGAGTGAGATCATGTGATACTAGAAATACACTTACAAGAACTGAAAATGAGACAAACAATAATGATTATGCTGAGGGGCAAACACATCAGTCTGTAGTGAGTTCCTTTCTGGTCCAACAGTTCTTTTGAGTTCCTATTTCAATGTCAAACAGTTCCTTATGTGTACGTGTCAGCCATGATATTTCAGTTCTGGATGGTGGACAAATGGTAGTAATGCAGGTCCGACCCTCTCTGGTTTGGTCCTGGGCAACCTGCAGCGACGCACAGCTGCTGACTGCTGGTATGGCCATACTACCAGGCTGCGTCTTGCAGGCTGGATGTGAGCGGGGAGATGAAGGTGTGTGTGAAGGGAGGAGTTCTGAGAGGAGGCACAGGTGAGCCAGGGCAGGGAGCACAAAGGAGCCTGCCTCGCGTTCCTGAGAAGAGGGAGCGGTGGGGGAAATTGAAGAGCAGCTCCACAGACTTCGCCCAGCATGAAGCCAACCCCAACGCTGTCAGGAACGTGGGAAAACAGGGGCTTCCGAGCCTCAGTTTCCCCATTCATGCTCGGGTGATGACAGCATGAAGTGAGACCCTGCATGTGAGTGTACACTGGGCTCACTAAGCACATCAGGTCCATGCAAAGGATGAAAATTAGCAAGCTGCTTCAACTTCCTGCTTCGCAAAGAAGCACAGAGGGTCCTATTTCAGCGGCTGAAAAGTGGCACCAATGTCTTCTTGCTCCTTTCTATCCAACAACTTTGAAATTTATGTGTTAAGTCTCTACCTTCCCCCTCCCACACCCCATCCCACGGCTCCCCAACCA